CATAAGGTTGATGAGTTTATGCTCAATGTTGTTTTTTTTCTACTGGGGACAGAAAATGGTGCAACACCAAGAATTGAGAAACTAAACTCCTGGACAGAAAGTCGCATATCTGAACTTGAACTGTATGTCAATATGTACGATAAGGCCCAGCATGACTTCAGATGCTCTCGCCAGGTCTCGTGAAACAATCTGATCTAACTGGCCTGCAGTAATGCTGTAGTGCTGTGCACTCATCACATTACCATCTTAATCTCTGCTGCTTCCAATCACAGCAGAAATAACAGATGGGAGAGTAAAAAAAAAATGAAGGTGCATGTTTTTGGTGATTTTTTTTTAAAACAATAATTTCCACCATTACGCAGGTCTTGCCAGAGCCCAACAGGTACGTAGCCTAGACGGACGTTTTTTAAAAAATCATTATGCTGTCAAACCAGCTTATTTCACGTTGTTGGCTGGAAATCTCAGCAAACCTGCAGGACTGACATAAAACTGGGCGCCTCTGGCCTGTTTCCAAGTCATCTGTCTGTTTTGCCGCGAGGCTGTATAAACTATCAGGAGCAGAATCCCCACCACCACTACGCAATATGAGCTCCCCGATACGCAGCACGGCCATCAGCTTTGAGAAAGCACATCCTGCTCTATAAGTACCGCCATCTAACGTCAAATACAGCCTACAGACTCAGCCTGATTACACGGCAGAAAGAAAGAGAGGCCGTGATGTGGCTTTCTCCCCCTCTCTGTAAAACACATAAGCCCCTCTTGCTGCTGTATAATTGCCCTGAACAACTTCCTCTCTCCTCTACAATGGCAAAAGCACAGGCAGAAGGTGGCGGGGCACTATTTTCCATGCTTAATGCACATCTGCCCCAGCAGTTAGTGGTGTAATAAAATACAACTTTGATATGCGGCGTGTCTAATTAAGAAGCCGATTATGTGGTGCCCGGCTTTTTGTTTTTTTGTGCCGTTTTCATCTGTAATACGAATATGGCCGTGTGGCGCGCGTGCACAGCACCGATGGCTGGGCTGCTCGGCTTGTTCCCTTTAATAAAGCTCAGCCGGCGGCACTTTATTGCGCTCTTAATGGAAACATCAAACGCCATCGGGAGGCAGCCGGCTACACAGTCAAGCCACAGGGAACGGAGAACACCAACAGTGCTGAAAAAAAAGCCATCAGCCAAGATAGACTGACGACTCACATCTCCTAGGAAGACACGAACGCCCAGAGTCCTCAAAGCTCGTCGCCCCCGTGCAGTGGCTGGCCAATGACTCTCCTGCCACCCCACGCAAGACGGAAGCAGCCCGTGTGCTGCACCCCGTTGGGATGGGGCAGCGGTCCCCATGCTTGGCTCTGGTGACCCACACACCTGCTGGGCTTCATCCCATCCCACCTTCATTAGATCAGCGGAGTCTTAACTGACTGAAGCAACAGGAAGCTGCTTCACTGCAAAATGTGCATTTTGTTTCTAGTCCCAAGCTTGGGATTTTGATTCACTAACAAGATAGAACAGTTCCAGCATGTTAAAGAGCTGGGGACAAATAGCAAATGAATAATTATTACTGTTCTTCTTCTGCTTCTTCACTAGGACAAGGACTGGGAACCACTTAGATGGGGCGACACTTTTCCGGCTAGCTATGTGGTTTCCGTCCAGCCCCTTAGCCCTGCCTTAACCGTTTGATCAGAAAATCCACAGGCCAGAGGCAGCCACTCGGCCTGCGGATAAAGACGAGGACGTGACCTCTGTGCTTTCTGAAAGTGTGAAAAACAAAAGTTTAGGCGCGATCAAGCCTTAGGTCTTCACAGTCACGGCATCTCGCGCGGTGAGAGATGTGGAGGGGACATAACTGATTTAGCTGCTCCAGTGCAGCAACAAAGTATGGTTACAAAAAAACAGACACTCTGGTCACAGATTCAGTAGTTCTCATCTTTTTCCTTTTAGCTCTTTAAGTGCACTATAGGCCGAGCTGTATTTTAACCATCTCACTTTGTGATCTTTTGTTTTTCGATTAATTCTCTGGAATGCCTGCTCAGGGTGCACAGTAGTTGTTTGATCCATCCATGCAATATCAGTACACCGCTTGACTGCTGGGGAGGAAGTGAAAACACACTTACTCTGCCCCCTGCATCGCAGGGCTGTGCAACGAGGCCATCAATTAAGCCTGGCCAACGCGTCTTTGGGATGTGAAGGGAAAACAGGGCACCCAGGAAAAACCAGACAAACACAAGGAGACTATGCAAACTCCATAAAGACAGAGGTCCATCGGACTGAGCAACTGTGATGTGAGCCTCACCGCATCTCACCCACAAACTGACGGATGATGAGCAGTGTTCATGTCTGATACAGAATTGGGATACCAATTTAAGTGGCCTTTGTCTTAATTTATTCATGCTCCGAGATTCACTAACCCTAACTCAAGTCCCTTTTCACTGCAGCCTGCAAAACCATTATTCGTTCATGCGTTTTCTTACACCCTGTACTAAATCAGATGTGATTCATTGTTGGTTTGATGAAGGGGTGCCTGGACTTGAAAATCGCTCAGATGGAAGATTTTCACCTACCTATACAAAAGCATAGCAGCTCTGAAGCTGCAACAGTGGTGATTATTAGCCAAGATGACACTCACGAAGAATGAAAAAAAGAGCAGCATCTTAACTAACAGAGGTTAAATTAAAAAAATCCGCTTTCCATTCTTGCAAAAACTTCCTCATTTCATGAGAAATTGAATTTTAATGGGAGCATCTGTGTTTTTTTTTCAATTTTCAGTTCCGTTTGGGATGCCTTATATTCTTTAAAGGTATGGAACTAAAGTGAAATTGATCCAAAAACAAAATACTCCATGCTGATCTAAGGAACATGAGGCCTCGTCTCACACCTCAAGAGCAAGAGCCATGCTCCTTATTGTAAGTCTAGAAACGTTTCAACATGTCTTATTCTGTGATTAATAACCCATAACACGTACAAGAAACGAGCTGTACAATAACATCCTTTGGGCATAAGCAAGTGGAAAAACTCACAATAAGTTTAATAAAGTAACTGGCCTCATCTGTTGGACTAATAGGGTGAAAAAAAATAATTCTCAGAAATCAGAGCTTGTAGCCAGTTTGTTTGAAGTAAGAGTAGCAATTAATCACGTAACTTGACGGTAATTACCGCATGTTTTATCTCAATTAGCTTTTCAGGTATTACAGCACAGATTAAACCAAATATGAGGGGAAATCCTGTTTTTCCACTTCAAGCTGCTGTTAAGAAATTGCTTAGTAAAAAGAAACACACATCTACAGTAACTATCGGTGTATACAGTGTCTCACAATGCATGCAGATTTCCAGTCAGGCACACCTCCTGGGGGCCTCTTTTGGTCTAGGACCTTTCCCAGAATCCTGTTTTTTCTCCCAGAATGCATCAAAATGGGTGTGTCTGCTTCTGGCACCCAGGTTATAATCATCTGATGATCCATTTCTTCCTGGATGTGATGCTGAGCGCGAAAAGCAGACAGACAGTTTAGCTGTGGAGTTTTCTTACAATCGACAGGCAGTTTCTGAAGGTCACATGGCACAAGCATGAGGAGTATTGTAGTAGTGGTGAAGCCATTTCCATACAATACAGCAGGACTGAGCAGTCTGTACCAGAAAGACTGCACGTACAGCAACCGAAATCGGGACTAATAAATGTCAGGAAGCAGTACTGGGCTTTGTAGGTCAGGAATGCTCCTTTTTAAGGATAACTTCGATTTTAAGTATGTGATCATTCGCAGAGGAGATGTAGCAGTGTGATAATTATGACTGAAATGGAAAAACATGCCCTGGTGCGAGTGTGCGTGCGTCCGTGTCTGTGCTCTGTGCCCCCCGCTTGTCTGGATAGGCCCCGGCTCCCCCCAAACTGAATCAAGCAGTTGGAAAAATGGACAGATGGAGATTAAAAGGGGTGTTGAAAAGATTGGGCACTACAGGTAAACAGGCAACAAAATGGTGAGTAAGACAAATGAATTACTCTCGGACTGAACTAGATTGCAGCTCAAAAACACTGGAGACAAAAAGGTACACTGGCAGAGAGAAATAGCCTTTTCAGTCAACCAGACAGATGGCTGGAGGCTGGCTTATCCCTCTCTGCAGACTGGATGGCAAGCAGTTGTCCTCCAGGCTGTTCTAAATGGAAAAACAGGGACGACTGGTCTGCAGCACCTGGCTGTGCACCTGAACTTTCATTCCCCTTCATTTCTCTGCCCTGGAATCCTCAACAGGGCGCAGATTCAGACAGGGAGTAGCTCTTAGAGATCCAGCCCTGCCCTCCCTGTGAGGCAGCGCAGGTCTGAGGGCTGGCACGCTCTGTACCTGCCCAGAGAGAAGCACATGCTGGTTTGCAGACCCCCCCCCACCAGCACAAACCTTTTCGCTCTCTCTGCCTCGTCACACCGGAACTTTTTAATTAAAAAAAAACGCTCCCCAGAGGTCGCGTCCTCCAAAACATCCAATCCAAGCCTGGCCCAATCCAACACAGGACAAAAAATGAGCGAGCGAGCTTTACGCTGAAACGATACAACTGCGACAAAGCGCCAAGCTCGAAATTCAGCACAGTCATCACTACTCAGGGTCTGAGGCAGATGCTCACAGGGACGTCTAATAATTGATACCAAGAAAGAACATACCCTCACTCTGAAGCCTATGACATATTGCACTCCCAGTTCCCAGTGATTCTAAATTTTAAGAAGCACTTGTACTCCTGCTGAAAATGAAATAAATATATCTTTGGAAATGCTGGGATTAAACACACTACCTATGTGTTTTAATCCCCTCAGAACTAAAAAGATTCGCTCCTGCTGCTCTGTACGGCGTGCGCTCTACCACGCTGATGTGTCCCACGTTAACGATTTGCAGGGCGCCACGCTTCCTTCGTGAAACAATAGCGCCGCCTTGCGCTGCCTCCAGAGTCTGTTCTCGCATTCGGCAGCGCTTTGTAAAGGCAGCGCGCCATCTGGTGGAAGAAAGCAGTAACGCAGCGCCTACCTGGATTCCGGAGGTGGTGAAGTAGGGGATCTCAAACTTCACACTTATCGGCGGTTTTCCTTCCTTGTCTTCAGCCTCTACGCTGGGTAGCCCGAAATGAGCCCTCATCAGGTATTCCTTGCCTCCCTGAGAAAAGTAATGAATCCAAGTTATAATACTACTACAGTCTTTTTATTTACATTAATACATAAAATTACATGTATTACATCAGTCTATAAAACAGGTGACTGAGTGTGACCCGTAGAAACAGGTTTCTACCTATCTTGAAATTATTAGACAGTCAAATTATTATTTTATACGATGTGTGCATATATTGTTTTATTATTTTTCAAGGACGAGAAGTGCAATTTATTCACAGAACCATGATTTGGCTACAAACAATGGCTCACGTGTCCAATGAAAAAAATGTTTCATTGACGCCTGGTGAAACTCAAAAAAGGCAGAAGAAACCTTTGCAGAATATGCCGCTCGAATGTGGCCGAGATGCAGTTTGTTCAGTGGAACCCGGCTCTTCGTCCGTCCCAGCTCACTGAAAACCGGGAAGCCCAGATGCAGGGCTCATAGACTCTTTCTGCTGGTGGGCCTATCTTGCCCGTGTGGGTCACAAAGGGCTCAAGAGCCCGCCCCGTGCGCGGCGCTCACCGGGAATGACTTGATGGACCACACGATCTCGCTGTTCTCCGGCACCCACTTCACGTTCCCGACCGTGGTTTTGAACTTGGGAGAATCGGCATCATTGGGAACGGGGATGTGGATCTCGACGTTGTTGGCCGTCGATCTTCTCTTGAACTGGCTCTTGGCCTGGTGGAGAGAGGTGGGCTGTGTTGAGCGTGTTGGGGGGGGGATTTCACAGGCAGTGAATGCTGGCATCGGGGCTTGAACGGAGGGCTCGACCCCCACCCCCCCCGCTAACTCCGCTCAGCTGCTCCTCTGCGGGAGGGACGATGTGGCCCACCGCAAGACAAACAGCTTCAACCTCCAGCCTAAACGAGCTCCATTAGGGGTTATGAATAAATAGAGATATTTTTGTTTCATATTGACTAGAGAGTTCATTGTTAAGAACTTTGTTTCATATAAATAATTAATAGTATTTTGTGTTTTCGGAATCAGAATGTTCTAGAATGATTCCGGAATCCGTTGAGTGTGGACAGGTCACGTGAGGGGTTCAGAAAGTTCGAGCAGTGGCTCGGGTATATAAAGGGCGACCGACAGACCGATTTGCATGGGGTTTTTGTTCTTCAAGTACACTTTGCTCATGGGATTCAGCAGTCTTTGAGGACACTTCACGTGTGGCCAGGATTTGCGTGTGGATTTACTATTTAT